TAAAGCTAATATGTAATCTTTCTTTCTGTCCAGAGATAGTACTGGCCCTTAGTGAACTCATTGTTTCAGGCCCAGGTGAAAGGCTTTGGCCTCATGATGCTTCAAGCCTTTTTTAAGCACATCTTAGAAACTACCTCCACTGTCTTGGTTTGTCTTGCCCACCTCTTAGGAGCACCACAGGCTTTAACTTTGTTCTACTGTAGATAATACTTTGTTCACCGTTAGTGAGACAGCATATATTTGGGGATTTGAAGGGGAGATTTGTGTTTTTCAGAAGGTTACATCTACTTTTTCTATAAACCGAGTTGGTGTGCTACAACTATATGCTGCCTTTATGACTACATGGGTCGCATTCTTTTATAATAAGTGTAACTTTCCTAAGTAAATTTGATGCTCACGCATGACTCAGCTTGAGACAAGCATGGGATGAAGATGACTCACTCTCCTCCTTCCCTTTATCTTTGCCCAGGCACTTGTCCTGAACTACAGAGAATGCACAGTGATGCTGAAAGGACAAAGTTAAAATCATGATCACTACTTTCCAAAGAGCCATGATGTTGCCCAACATTCTTTTTCCACTGTCTACTGTTTATTAGTATTGCACTTTCTTCTCACTTCACAACTATTCATTTTCCTATTTCCTCTTCTCTTCAAAGCTAATAAAGAAATAAAAAGCCATCAGAAGGAAATGTCTTACCTCTCTCGATTTTGTATGATAATGTTCCTGTATCTGCATTTAGTACTCCCCTGGACTCAGTTATTAATATGCAGTGTGATTATCTAAGCCCTCCCACCCCACCTACTTGATAGGACCTGTTTAGCAATTGTCCTTCTATCTTCTGTATTAATTACCCTTCCCTATCCATCAGGTCTTGATATCAGCATATATGCCCATGTTGAAAGAGCTCTTATCATTAAAAGAAAAATATTTCTTGAGGATTCCACAGTGCTCTACGAATGTGCCCTATGTTTCCATTCATCTTTGCAGCAGCATTCTTCAAGAAGTAGCCGCTCTACTTTTCCTTCAACTCCTTCTTAAAATTTCTCTACTAAAGTTCTCACTTTGCTAAGACACTTCTGGTCGAGATCATAATTGTCTTTCCAAAGACAGACCGCCTAAGTTCTCAGTGACTTGTCCTGTAACAGTATGTGACATGATCATTCTTCCACATGGCCTCTTTCCTTATATTCTAAGAGTCCACTCTTCTTGTTTCCCCTCTCCCTTCAGTGGTAGTTTAGTCATCCTTTCCCAAACCTTAAATTCTGGACTGCCCCAGAATCTGGCCTGGAGTATCTGGGTCTTTTTTCTTGCTTCTCTTCTAGATAAATCTGGTGGGTTCCATCTGTGACCTAAAATTTAGTCTGTTCACTGATGGCTACCAAATTAGTATTCCTAGGACAGACCTGTCCCCTAAGCCACACAGTTTCACCTCCAGTGATTGACTTGATTTTTCATTTTTTTAAGGTCAAATTCCTGATTTCCAGTCCCTCTCTCAGAAGCTGCTTGCTATACCTTCAAAATCTACTGAGACTCTGTCTCACTGCCTTCACAGATACTCCTTCATGCAAGTACTGCCATCTGTTGAGTGGATTTTAACCACTACCTTGTCATTGACTTTCTGTCTTGTATTTTCACACCCCATATATATACAATATACCACAATATATATACAATATACCACAATATACCGGGCAGAGAAAACTTTTTAAAATGTAAAGCAAATCACCTATGCCAGTAGTTTTATATTTCACAAAGGGTAGGAGCTGAAATCTTTACGGTGGCCTGGAAGGCCCCAGTGAGCCACCTGTGCTAACTCTGACTTGATTATCTTTTCTCTCATTCTCTCCACCTACCACTTGTTTTCCTCTGATGCTTACCACACTGGGCTGCCTGCCTTTCTCTAAGGAACCAAACACATTTCATGTCACAGTGTTTGTGCTTATTGCTTCCTTTGCCAGGAATGCAAAATGTGCTTCCATCCTGTATTTGCAGAGGTCATTTGTTCCATTCAGCTCAAATATCACTGATCTCTTCTTTGAAGATCTTATTTAATAATACACCTTCGTCTTACCTGCATTCCTAGCAAACATAATTATTGTGTTTCTGCTGTATTTTTAAGACCCAGAATGGAGCCTAGAACTTTGTGGGCATTAAATAAATGGATAATGGGGATGGTGAGGATGATGGTGGTAGTTGTGGGGATTCATGGTATCATACTGTTAAGCATGAAAGCCTCGATTTGTTTAATAAAGCTTTTTAAAATGGCACAACAACAAAAACATAATACAAGGTAGGTCTGTGTGTATGCAGCCCGTGTTTGATGACGAAGCTGTTAATTATGCAGCAGACACTGTCCTAAGATTTTTCCAGTTTTAATTCCCACAATTCCGCTATGCAGTGTGTATTGTCCTGTTTTACAAAAAAGGAAGTAAGTCTTCGTGAGTTTAAGAAAACAACTGAAGTTAGAAAGTGGCAGCACTGAGACTGAACCTGGTGTGACGTGTGATGTATTTCACCGTGTACTGCCAAACTGGTCTTGGTCTCTTGATTCTCCTGCCTCGGTTCCTCACATGCTGCAATTACAGGTGTGCACCACCATGCCTGGCTTGAGAGTCGAACTTCTGAAGAGTAATGCAGCTTCTGAAATCAAAACCTCTAGGTCCTCTGAAGTGATATGAACTGCACATACTTAAAAAGAAAGGTATTTAAGAAGTACTACCTAGCCAAAAGTTAAATATTGTGACTGTTAAGCAGTAGTAGATAAAAACAAGATACTTTTTAAAATTGTTCAGGAGAAAGTTCAGTCTGATGGCCATTTGCCTAATGATTTAGGAGAGCTCTTATGTCAGGTTCATACAAATGTCTTCTAACACCAGACAGAGTGTTGTGACCTCTTCTGTGTGTGAGTACACAGATACGAAGACAGCTAAGGCCCAGAGTGGTCTGGGTCACCCTCAAGAGCCTCTTCAGAGGAAAGGAAGAGGAGGGTTCTTAATTTATAGTTAACACTTCAGTAGACTGCTATTCTTCAAGCAAAAATACTTCAAACTCAAAGGCAGAAATTCTGTGCAGATCAACAGGAAGGGATTGCCAATTACAAGCACAGGAGATACCAATGAGCCATGATTAGTCCTGACAGACTAGCCATCTGTAAAAGACAGTGTCAGGTCAGTTCTGTGGACTCCAAAGAGCCCCACTTTCCGATTCTTTATTCTCTTTGCCACATGCTATTCTTCTGGTCCATTGTTTGAGGCATTATTTGAGTGTATGGATAGTATTAGAAACAGATTGAAAGCACCTACATTTCACTGAAGGTCCCAGATGCACTAGTCATCAGGGGCACTTGCTCCCAGTGGAAGCAGGTCCACATTCACACAGTATAGTGTGCTACATAGGAGTCATAGGAGTGGGGGTTTTTTTTGGTTTTTTTTTTTTGTACTGGGAATCAAACTCATGACTTTGCACTTGCCAGGCAGGCGCTTTTGCCGCTGAGCTATCCCCAGCAGGAGCCACTTAATTTTTCCCCACAGAATCAACACAGTAGTATGCCCTGGGAGAGCATACTCCCAATTATGTATAGCTAAACCCTGTTCAATTTAGAAACATACTGTGCTGAAATTTTTCAGCAGAGACATAAATTTGCTTTTTCATTACTGCTATGAATTTTAACAGTGTGGCTCTACATTCAAGATAGGCTGTTTGAAAAAAAGAGCTGTTGATAACCTCTTTTTGGAATTCTTTCTTGTACTGGGGAATAAGTGTCATAAATGTGGGTGGGAGCTATTGAGTGTTCTTGAGTTCATTCATAAGATGGCAGCATGTGTTATATCAATGAAAACAAGCTTCTGCATAGTAATTGTTAATATCACAACTGTGCTATAGACTTTGATTTTGTGATTTTTTTATGCTTACTGTTGGGGTGGCATGATTCATTTCCTGTTTTCATTGTATTTTAAGAAATGCAGATAGTAACAGTGCTGAGACTCCATCTCATTCCAGAAAGAATGGCTATTTTCAAGAAAAAAAAACAATAACAAATGCAGGGGGCCTGAGGATTTAGCTTAGCGGCATAAGCACCTGCCTTGCAAGCAGGCAGTCGTGAGTTCGATCCCTGGTACCGATAAAAAGGAAAAAGAAAAAAAAAAAATAACAAATGCAGGATGGACTGTGGGTAAAAAGGTACCCTTTTCCACTGATGGTGGGAGTGTAGAGTGGTGCAACTACTGTGAGTGTAGAAATTCCTCAAAAAACTAGGATTAGATGTTCCATTTGGGCCAGCCATTCCCCTTCTTAGTATCTCCCCAAAAGAATTAAAATCATACCACAGCAACACATGTACTCCCGTATTTATAATGACACAGTTCATAATAATCAAATCCTGGAAACAGCATAAATGCCCATTAACTGGTGAGTGGATAAAGAAGATTTGGTATTTCTTTAATGGAGTACTACTCTGCCATAAAGGATAAACTTGAGACATTTCTGCATAAAAGAATGCACCTTAAGACCATACATTGTGAAAATAAGTTGGACATACATGTGTAAATATCACATTCTCTGTAATAAACTGAGGGTGTAAATAAGGACCAAAATGTACAGTAAGTATTGTGAAATAGGAAGAAAATGTTTAAATGGGGAGGGGAATAAAGAGGGGGGAGTGAAAGGAAAGAAGGGAAAAGTTAAAAAAAGAAATACAGATAGTTACTAAAAGATACTACAATATGTGCATCATTATGTTCTTTTATTTTTGTGAGCTTTGTGTCATGACCTTATTTTCCCCCCATTCTGACATCTGCTACCTTTTAAAAAGAATAATTTCTTTGGTATTTGCCATGTCTTCAAGATACTTTGAACATACCCAGCTATTGTTCCCAAAAGGTGATTGAGTCATTTTTGGGATTGACTTCTCATGATTTGACCTTAATCAGCCCTAGCTGGTTTTTAAATATGAATTACCTTCTTTTTTTTATCGTTTTGTTTTCTTGTTTTTCCATAACAGGCTGCAGATACTTTGGCTGTGAGGCAAAAAAGAAGAATTTATGATATCACCAATGTCTTAGAAGGAATTGACTTGATTGAAAAAAAGTCAAAAAATAGTATCCAATGGAAGTAAGTTATGGGCAAGACAGTTTCTTATGCTAAAACTTTCATTTGCTCTGCGGAATTTGACCTTTCTAATGTTTGTGTCTCCCAAATCCTGTATTTCAGCCTATGATTATACCAGGCCTCTCATTTTACACAGGACACACCTTTTTTATGCCTGTATGTCATTCTTGTGCTGAGATGTTTCCTTACTTTCATTGCTGTGTAATTTATAAACTTTTGCATGATAGTATAACTAGTTTCTGTTCTTCAGTGTTTTGTGCTTTTTCATATTAGCCAAAATTTCATCAAAATGCTGAAAGACTGTAATGTACTTTACTAGCATCTCAGTCTGTTTTCATGAGACTGCTAGGTGTGACTATTTGGTGTTGACATCTTTTTAGCAACTCTGTCACCAGCCTAGCCTTCTAGATAAAATAAAAACAAAAATTTTGTAGAGTATACTAAGAAGTTTTATAATTTGATGGTTTTGTCAATAAATTTTCTAAGCAAATATGTTCAGGGTTATGGTATATGAATTTTAATGTTTGATTTTTAGAAACAAATATCTGTATTTTGATTACATTCCTACATGTTACTTCTAAGGTTATGGAAGTTAAGTGATGTTAACCTAAGTTTGATATCAGGGATATTAATTCTGCTGTGTTTTTAAGAGGTGTAGGTGCTGGCTGTAATACTAAAGAAGTTATAGATAGATTAAGATTCCTTAAAGCTGAAATTGAAGATCTAGAATTGAAAGAGAGAGAACTTGATCAGCAGAAATTGTGGCTACAGCAAAGCATCAAAAATGTGATGGATGACTCCATTAATAATAGATATCCTTTAAAATACATTACATATATATGCAGCTATAGAACATATATGTATATAATACATTCTCCCAGTCTGAAGGCCAGTAAATTTTATTGTGGTATTTTAAAAATTCTGTAAGTGATTATAACAGTTTATAATGTTTTTTTAGTAATTTATACTAGCATTTTAAATATACTACCTTTTAAAGTTATACAGTATTTCTGTTAACACTGCTTTGTATTGCACTGAGGGGAAAAAAGGTTAATCTTTGTCTGCTGAAAAGATGTAATATATTACCTGAAGTGTGGGTACAATTGGGTTTGTTTATTGCTAAGTAAAGCATGTTTTTTTGTGCATGTATGTGGTGAGTGTCCTGGGTATTGAACATCCCCACCCCTTTTTATTCTGAAACAGACTGTCAGTCTCCAAACTTGAACTTATGATCCTTCTACCAAAGCTTCCTGCATTGTGGGATTACAGACCTGGGATATAGCCTACTTAGCCATCATATGTGATCTTTTTGATGTTTTGTTGCATCCTGTTTGCAAGCATCTTTTTGAGGATTTTTGCATCTATGTTCTTTAGAGAAATAGGCCTATGTATTTCTCTTTTTGGTTGGATTTTTTCCCTGCATAGTCCCTTTCCTTGGGAGTCTCTAGATATGTCCTGTTTTCCATGTCTTTTCCAGCAGTCCTCAGATGTCATAGAAATCAGAACAGCGTTCCAAAATAGAGGATGGGAATTTCTTTTATGGAGCTTTACTTATTTGTCTTTGCCTTTTCCAGACTTAAAACTAGGTTTTGTTTTTTTGTTCTGTACGCCTGACCCTGTGTGGTGGCCTCTTCATGTGATCGTTTTGACCTTCAGATGTACTATTTTAAATGTGTAGACCTTGATATAAATGCTGTTTCTTAACTCTTATGACAGTACATTTTCCTATGTAACTCATGAAGATGTCTGCAATTGCTTTAATGGTAAGTCCTTTTATGCTTTTCCTTCTGATCATTTCCTCTGATCACTCAGCCATAGAGCAATGAAAAATTCTTAGCCGGGAATGGTGGCTCACGCCTGTAATCCTAGCACTTGGGAGGCTGAGGTGGGAGGATCCTTGCGAGTTCGAGACCAGCATGGGCTACAAAATGAGCTCAAGGCCAGCCTGAACTACATAGCGAGACCCCATCTCAAAAAAAAAAAAAAAAAAAAAAAAGAATTCTCCACACACTCAGTTGAAATCATTATTTTGAGGAGTTGTGCACACTTTGGCTCACCCTAGTGTTTTGTGTTGGCAGACTGCTTTTGTTTCTGCTTTCATGGCAATAACTGCTCTTTATAGCTATTATTTCACTGACCCCATTGCTAGGCATAAACCCAGTATGGAAGGGGATGGGCCAGGGCAGAGAGGAAACCACATCTGAATGATATTAAGTGAATGACTAAACTTGAACTAGAGGGGTTTCTCATCAGCACTGTTTACAAACTATAAAATAGGGGTGCTGGTCACAAATGGAACTCAAAAAAGCACAGGGGCTGGGATTTAGCTCAGTGGCATAAGCGCCTGCCTTGCAAGCAGGCAGTCGTGAGTTCGATCCCCAGTACTGATAAAAAGGAAAAAGACAAAAAAAAAAAAAAAGGCAGCACAATTAAGTGAATCTTTTTTATAACCAGGAAAATTACTCTTAATCCTATTCCTTTCCTGCTGCGTTAGATTCCCCTTGAAATGACAGTATCATGTATTACCATATAAACTAATGGTAGATACATGCTTATGCAACACAAGTAAAATGAAATTCAGCATATTAATATTTAATCATACATGCTTATTAAAAAGATGGTCATACATATTATCAACCTTCTAACTTGCCAAGAATTTTATCAAGTGGAATCTGACTTCCCATGTGAGGCTATGTCGGAAATGGATTTGGATTTACTGGTCTGTTTTGCCAGCATAGTTCCTGTGCTAACAAAGTTTGGGTAAAAGTTTATTAATCTACAATTCAGCAAAGATTTGCAGTAGAATTTGGCATAAAAAATCAATTCAGGTCAAGATGTTAGTCTATCATACCTCATCTGTACAGCCTCAATCATTTAAGTAGCTTAAATATTTCAAGTAAACTATTCTTTGAGGCTAATACGGTAAAAACAAAATTGGCTCATTTGTTAATAAGAACAGAGCCGGGCATTGAGTATTATATTCTAACAAGCATTTATGATCTCAGCTTTTAGAACCAACTTATGTAGTATGTACCTGTCCCCTGTTTATTTTTATTATTATTACATTTTTTTGGTTCTGGGGATCGAACTCACAACCCTGCTCAGGTCTTTATGCCACTGAGTGAAATCCCCAGCCTGTCCTTTGTTTTATAGAAAGCCAAGGTCGTGAAGCCTGAGATTAAAGTCGAAGCTTCTCATTCCACTCACTACACCCTTGCCATTGCATCGTGTGATCAGTTTTTTACTGTTTATCCTTTTTTTTTTTGGACTAGGTGATACCCTTTTGGCCATTCAGGCACCTTCTGGTACACAGCTGGAGGTACCTATTCCAGAAATGGTATGTAGAGTATATTGTAAATAGAAAAAATTGACATATACTCTCAAGAGGGGCAGATGTATTTTCTTGAGGTGAACATAAGCGGATTTTTTTGTGAACAGTTTTGCGTTACTGCTTTCAAGTTGTATATCTGAAAACACTGGTAGCTGAATTTGAGTGTCCTCACTACTTTGGTAAAATTATATGTGACTAAATCATTAACATTAATGGCATGGCCAGTAATCTTAACAAAACAGTGAAAATGATCACATCAGTAAGTAATGTAAAAATCATGATCAAGGGAAAAATGAATGTAAACCTCAACTATCAGTGGCTTTAAATTAGGTATCAAGGTAACATTTCTTGGCTTACTGAGTCAAAGATGTTCATTGGTTTTATGTTATATGTAAAATTATTGTTTTGGTTCTCAGATTAAGATCTTTTAAAACACACTGATACAAGCTATACCAACAAAGGAAATAGAAAATATCTAAACCCCTCCACACACACACCTACCTGTTCTAAAAGTTTGTGTGTATACATTTATATTACTGGTTCTGAAAACTGAGGATACAAATTAATTTTTGAAAAAGGGATTTTATATCTACATAGGAAGTTGGTAATCTGTGGAAAAAAAGGGTTTGACCTGCGAAACAGTTGGAAAGTAACACAGGATGTTGACATGACCATATTCATGATGACTAACTCCAGGGCATGGAGTTCATGAGTATGGAGAATAAGCCTGCACTGAATAGGTATGCAGGAACATTGAAAGATTATGATTATATTCAGTAAAAGTACATGATTGCCAGAACTCTGTAACTGACAACTTTTGATGATCAGTATTTAAGAAAAACTTTGTAGGGGCAAGTAGTTTAGAGATTTCAGCATCCCATTCTTCTTTTGTCTTTAAACTTAATGACTTTATTTTGTTGTATGAGTTTAGTTGCTAACAACTTTACCTGTCTCATTTGTAATGTTTCAAGGAGGTTACTAATGTTAATATTTATTCATTTGTTTATACCCAATAAATTTTAAAGGGTCAGAATGGACAAAAGAAATACCAGATCAATTTAAAGAGTCATTCAGGACCTATCCACGTGCTGCTTATAAATAAAGAGTCCAGTTCATCTAAGCCTGTGGTTTTTCCTGTCCCCCCACCTGATGACCTCACACAGCCTTCCTCTCAGTCCTCAACTCCAGTGACTCCACAGAAACCCAGCATGCTGCCTCAGAACCCGCCTGAGCAACATGTGTCTGAGAGAAGCCAGAATCTTCAGCAGATACCAACCACAGAAATAGGATCTGGTGGGTTTGGAGCCTTAAAAAACAAAACAAAACAAAACAAACAAACAAACAAAAAATATATATATATAAATAAATGGGAAAATGAGTATCATATTAAACAATCTGAAAAACTTTTCTGAATGTCAGTCATGACGTTTATTATCTAATACAAATGGCAAAATAAGTATTTACTGTCTCCTGTGTGCCCATCGTTGGAATAGGTATTATGAAATTTGATCTTGGTACCCATTTTACAGGTAAATATGCATCCAATTCAGAACTGTCAGGCACAATTTAATGTAGCTAAAGTTATATACAGAACTATGACTATTAAGGCATGACAAAGGGATTTATGGGTTTTCTGTAGGATTCTGTTTTTGGGATTAGTTAGGCTAGATATGTTCTTTTTGTTTTTACTATTTATTTATGTCAACTTCTATTTGGTTTACTCTTTTTTAAAATCTCTTAGTAAGACTAGGAAAAAATACTGAATATGGTAAACAACCTTTAAGAAAATAATCTAGGTAATACAGAACATGATTTATTCCTGTTTCTCCATATTCTTTATATACTTTTTACTTGGGAAGCTTAATTTTATAAGTGGTCTCAGCTTCAGTTATTTAGGAAATCTTGTTTTTCTAAATTGCTTTGTCTATGAAATGAAAGATAGCTAAAACACTAAAAGTTGAGTATCAGGAGATAGGATCCACAGCTCTAAAGTCTATAGAACTTTTTGTGGCACCCATTCTTCCTTGGTCTTAGAGCTGTGTTCAGTGACTCCTTATGAGTTCCAAATAAGTAGCGTTATAGGGAGTCTTTCAATGATTGCTCCATGAATAACCTGTGCTAATGCAGATATCATAGTGCAAAGGTCTAAAACAGAATTGTAGGGCCAGGGATTTAGCTTAGTGGCACAAGCACCTGCCTAGCAAGTGCGAGGTCATGAGTTCGATGCCCGGTACCACAAAAAAAAAAAAAAAAAAAAAAAAAAAAAAAAGCAAAAAAAACCAGAATTGTACAGAATCTAAATCTCTGTATGTCTCATTGTGGCTTCTCTGAGAGTTCACAGTATCTAAAAGTAAAACTAAAAATATTTAATTGGACATGGATTACTTTTTAGCTTACTAATCATATAATCTTTTCGACTTCATTTCCGCTGTTACTTCTATACTGTAAGTCACAAGGATACACAGTAGTTTTAGTCTTTACAAACTGTATAATTAATTATATTTACTAGGGACAGTAAAGCAGGCAAGATTGATATATTTTAGTGTCACCACACCTGGGAACATTGGCTTCTAGAGAACATTAAAAAAATGTAGGATCTAATTGCTGTATGATTTTGTGTTGCAAAATAGTAATTTGGGGTCTGTTGGGGAAAATGTATATAGCAACGACTTAGCTGATAACCACTTAATTCTGTGACCAGGGAAATAGAATTAGAGCTGTACAGTGGTAGTAGGCACAGAAGTAGTTTCACTGGGAAAGAAGATGCTTTAGGGAAACAAAGAGGAGTGAAACAATTGAAGATTCTGTGTCTGTGGTTATGAAACTGAGAGAATGTGAAGGCTAAAATAGGAGATCCCAGTGGGATCAGAGACAAATCATGAACAGATCTGGAAAATACTGTATAGGTAAAACAACAGTTGTTACATGAGAGCTGGAGATAGAGTGAACATTAGAATGGAAAAATGTTGTCTTAATGGTTGAATGACCGCGAGAATTACAGTACCACACACTGTAAAACCATACCTGCTTTGGAAGAGTTAGTTTTTTGGTCCACATCTTAAATTGAGGAATTTAAAATAGTAGTCACGGAGTATTTTGAAAATGATGTTTCCACAAAGCTCAAATACTTTAATTTTGCATTATCATCGAAGCTGATTATATGACTACCTGTACCTAAATGTAAATCAAAATGTAACAAAATTTTGTAACATTTTTTTCCAGCAGGATCTATTAGTGGAGATATTATTGATGAGTTAATGTCTTCTGATGGTAAGTAGTTTAAAATTTCACTACTTTCTACAAGAGTGATGCCTTTCTAGAATTTGTTAGTGGCATAACAAAAAATACTATTTGTGAAACTGCTTCACTCTGACTGCTGAGGCTTTTCCCTTAGTAATACTTCGGAATAAAGGACAAGCATCCTTCAGGGCTTCTTTGTTTGCATTTTGAAGAGAAGGAATGCATAAGGAGATTATCCTTTTCACTGTGCAAACTTTAAACTGTTGGAACACTACCTCTTTGTCCTCCTGAGGAGAATCTGGCTGAAGATAAGTAAAATAATACATCAACATCGGCAGATGATAGGAAAGTCCATTTTGGTAAAATACTCCCACTATCACTAATTTCAAATTGCCACTGCAAATCACCAAACTATTACTAACATCAGCAATGTCATCACCTAATAAAAAGTCTTAAAAATCAATTAGCTGCATTAGTTTAATAAATTCTCAGTGGGCTTTACCTTTGTTTATGGATTCAACATGCTGATTCCTAACCAATGTAGCAAAGACCAAGAAGTGACAGCAGTTAACTTAGCAAATGGTACAGTAATGATTAAGAGATGTACTAAACATTTAGGAAGAAAATATCAGCAACCAGTAAATTTGCATACGTATTATGCTTTCAAAGTGACAAAATAAAAATACCAATTACCAGTGTATTGATAAGTCTTTACCTGAGAATCTTTCAACAAAGTATAAACAGTTAACATTAATAGTATATATGTGTGTAGCACACACTTTGTAATTCAAGTGTGACTTAGAAAATAAATTGGTGGAGGCATTTGAGAGTAGTTTATTAAATCTCATTTCCTGTATGTAGAAAGCATCTTTAACCTTTTCTGTGTTTGCCTGCAGTGTTTCCACTCCTACGGCTTTCTCCAACCCCTGCAGATGACTACAACTTTAATTTAGACGATAATGAAGGAGTCTGTGATCTGTTTGATGTCCAGATACTAAATTATTAGATTCCATGGAAACTTGGGACTGTTATCTACCTCTAACTGTGTAACATTTTAGATTTCTTAATAACCTAAGTATTTAAAATAATGAATGTAACATCTTTTTAGTTCACTGATTCTGAAGTGTTCTTCTCTAATACTTTCTTTTTTACTTCACAAAACTTCAACCATAAAAACAAAGGGCTCTGTTTCTGGAAAAAAAGAGATGTTCATATCTGCAAACTCTCTTAATGCCCAAGTAATTAATTCTGGGTTTTCAATTTATAATTCTGAATCCTTCTGTTTCTTCTCATGAGACAAAGGTGAAACAGACTTTAGGTCATCAAAAACAAAGTTTTTCAAGGGCTATTCACTTATTTGCCTTGTATTTTAACTGCCATGAAATTATTCCTGCATGTGTGTTAGTCCAAGGAGATATTCACTGCCACTTAAAAGTGAAAGATGTAAATGAGGATATGTAACTGTTTCAGTGAACAGATTTTGTGAAGTGCCTTCTGTTTTAGCACTTTAAGTTTATCATTTTGTTGACTTTTGACATTCCACTTTCCTAGACTACAGGAAAGATCTGTTTATGTAGTTTGTTTTTAAAATGTGCCAATGCCTGTATATTAACAAGATTTTTTTAAATAAAGTTGTATAAAATATGTATTTTATTGATTTTTGGGAATACTTTGTGGAATTTGAAACATCTCCACTGTATTACAATTGAGCCATTAATCTTGCAGCTTCATCAACATTAACTGGTTCATTTTCAGGATGCTGCCGATTAACCTGAAGGGAGAAAAGTACATTTAAACATTTAGTAACATATATAAAAGTGACTATACATAATCTGTTAACAAGTTTAATTTCTTCCAGTCATACTTTGAGAAATAAAACATTCTTATTCAGACTCAATGTTTTGCGGGTCTGAATATGCTGAACATATAAAGCCAAGCATAGTAGAGCACCACATACTGAAAAATTACATCTTACTCATATTTCACTGGTTTTATTAGTCATCAATATGAGCCATGATAAAAGCAAATGATACCTACTTACCCGCACTTTGTGCCGAGGTTCAAGAGTAAGCTTTTTTGAGAAGTGTGCAAGTTCCTTCTGAATGTTTACAAAAGCATTATTCATTCTGCGAATCTTTTCATCATTCACAATGTTTATCTGTTAAAAAAAGAAAAAAAGCCTTAGTCCATAATCTTATAGCCATGAAAGATGAAATGTATTCATCTTTTAACTCTGTTAAAACTAAGAATCTGTGAATTCTGAACTCTACCAAACTGGAGACAATTCATGCTAAAACTATCATCTTACTAGAAAATTTTAGTCAAAAGATTTAAAAATAACTACATGGATATGCCTCATACCTAGACTTAGATGGCAGAAGAAGGCCAAAATAATTAACCATAATCCTTCAACATTAGTATGTTATCGTCCCTTACCTGTAAAACCAGAAACCTGGATCAAATGCTATTAGTCTCTTCCAATAGCTCTGAGTCATTCTTTGACCCTATTAGCCTTACTGTTTTGAGTCTAAAAGGTAGAGATGGTTTATATTCACTGCTACTAACAAGCAATTTTTTTTCACAAACTAACTTTAGATGACATTATTTTGTGTTTCTATAGCATCCTCAAGAACTTTAAATGCTTCATAGATGTTGTTTCCAATTCATTTTCAAAACAACCCTGTGGGATAGGTATTCCTCCCATCTTACAAGACAGGAAGACTGAACAGAATGGTTAAGTGACTTGCCCAGGCCATACAATGAAGTTCACTGAAGAGCCAGGACCTGAACACTAGTGTAAGCTCCCAGCCAAACACTGCATAGAGAATCTTTAATGAAAAGCATGTTTAAAAGAATCGAGAGTAGTATGTTAGAAGGTCTTTCTACTGCCATCAACGAGAAAGCAATCTGTATTTATGATGAGATGCCACAAGACCCAAGATCCAAAAGCCCCTCTTCAACACAATGAGCCTTTTGGGTGGGGGGACACTGCAGATACCAACCATAACACTATCATACTTTAGGCACTGCCTTTGATTTCTCATTGCTTCATATTCTCTTTTTCACCAGTGTGTTCCATCCAGATCAGCCTTTAATCCTGCATTTAATTAATCAAATTACTTTTACAGCTTCCATGTAGCACCCACTTCCCATTGGCTTTTCCTTTCTAAGTCTCCTGGCTCCTATAATGGGTAAAAGTTTCAAAACAAAAACCATGTCACCTGCAAGTAGAACTTCACTTACAGTGGATGCTTCAGTCCACAAACTTGATTCTTTCCACATTTCTGGTCACAAATTGAAGTAGACAACTGAATCATATTCAATGGTTAGGTTTAATGTTCCCCTTATGAGGAAATTTGATCTTATACATGCTGTGCCTTAGCTGATGTTAAAACTAACTGCTTCACTGTACCCTTTGTATAGAAAGCTGTAAAAATACAACTTTAAGTTCCAAAATTTGGCTTTAGCTGTCAATATACAAGTACTTCCATTTCTCTAATTTTCCCTAAGTTCCTGGTTGTGACTGTATTATTGGCAGATCAGGCAGGCTATATCCAATTAGTAGAAACCAATTCTGTAGGCTTGGAGAAGCTGTTATGCTAAAAATGCATTTGTTAAAATGTTTTTGATACTGAGTATATATACCAAGTATCTAATTTTTTCTCAGCACATTTAAGTATCCCAGCTAGCCAAGTGACCCTGTTAAAGATCTGTTTATGGAGCAAACAGGTGAAATCATCTCCAAATCTAAAAGATATGGGTAATTCTGTATTCATCATGACCCTACTAGCCAGGACCATAGCTAAAAAGCCTGAAGATTACATTTTGACAAAGTCCTTTTTCCCCTCTGACTTTACAAATTGATTAGAAAAGCATTCAGAAATTTGTGTTTCAGACTTCATTTTGCTGGGGGTTTGAAGAAGTAGCATATATAATGTAAAATATATGTGAACCATTTTAGTTGGTATTTTTCCATGCACAAGTAAGTTACATCTAAAGTTATATCACTAAAACTTGACAACAACAAAAAAGATGTTTCTTGTACCAAACAGTTTCTCCTTCAAAACCTTTAGCTCCCTTACACACCATGCATGAGAACATTATGGTCTTCCTCATTGCTGTCACTCACCAATGTTATGATTTGCTTCTTCATGCAGATTTTCAAACCTTAGCTCACTGACTGCTCATGCTTATTGTCACTACTTAGTGTCTTCAAAAATCTAAGCCTATAGCCTCTTTATCTGTTGAGGTTCTCATCTCCAGGGATCTTCGTCATTACCTGTCTCGGCCAACTACTATGGAGTACCTTCTGCAGCACTGCCTCTCCTTGTTCACTTAACAAGGAGATTCAACAATTTTTGAATCTCACTGAATCTTTTCTCACTAATTTCACTGTTTTCCATAATTTTATATCCCACTTAGCCAGAAGAGATTTCATCACTTCTTTACATTCTTTAATTAACTTTTCTTCTCCTTTTTCTTAAACTTGCCAAGCAATGTTTATACCCAACTACCTTTCTGCTTTCTGAAGCTTGAGAATCATAACAGGCTTCACTTTTACATATCGGCTGACAATATTCCCTTGCTTAACTCACTTTATGAGAAAGGCACAATACTTAATACTTTATCCAACCATGCTGACCATTCAGATTCTGCTGTCTCTCTCTCTCTCTCAGATAAGTACAAAGGTTCTAGTACCCCATGTTGAACTGACACACTCTCAAATGCACCAAGCTTTTCCATAGTTTGAGGAACATGCTGCTTCCGATACATCTCAGCATTACTAGTCTTTATCATTCCCATCTCGACCTCAATGTTACATATGAAGACAATCCTATGTAAAACTCAACTCAAAAATCCTATAGCACCTAGCTCTTTTCCCTTATAGCATTTAAAAAGTCATAAAAGTTATGTATCAAAAAACTTAGCTCATTGATAAGTTAAAGCCGAAATGTCATTTTTCTATGGATTACAAAAAATAACAAGTCTTGGAAAACAGACTAACCAGTATTTCAATTTGAAAACCATTCTTAAGAAATATTAAGAGAACCATGTAAGTGTTGAAGAATTTTCTTAAATATTTTGAAATATAAAGATAATAAACTTTAAATTTTGCATTTTGAGAACAGTATAGACTTATGTTCATTTGAGTTCCAGGATAATAATTAGAGAAAAATGCTGACATTCCATGTCTTGGCTCTGTTAGTAGGTTCTTGAATATATTTGAATTTAGAGATAAAAACTATTTCTCATACTATGAGGCTTTTTATTTAATGCTTTGTATGCTATAATGAAGTTGTTAAACTGTCATATGCACTTTTATACCTTTGCACTTAGACATTTGCACTTAAAATACTTTTTCCTACACTTTAAGAAAGGAAAGTTGTTTTTCTTCAACTTTAAAAAAAACATTTAAAATCATCCTGTTAGTAAAAAAGAAAAGGAAAAAACAAAACAACAAAATGGAAACAAGGAGGGGAAGAAGGCTGAAGGGAGGGGAAGGGAATGGTAAAAAAAAAAAATTACATCATGTAAGTTATAAATTTCCTATAATAAACAGGACCATGTATACCTAAAATGTAGCAATAAAAATCATTTTCTTTGAATCATAAACATCATCTTACTTTGTAGGAAAGACTCTGTTTGGGGTTAAACAACTTTTAGGTTAAACAACAGAATTCAGCTGTACAGTTGCTTTACTACTATGCTGTACTTGTGGTACTTAGTAAAACTCACCTTCTTAAGATTAGTGGTAACTGGTTTTGCTTTATTTTTAGACTTAAAGGTTTTTTGGTTGGCTATCTGAAATACATTCTTGGACTTCTGCCCTCTTAATTTATTCTTGGCCATTGTCTAGAAGAGGAAAAAAAGGAGATGAATTAAGCTGCCTATGTTTAAGAACTATAAAATCATTTTAAGTTTTTAAAGCAGAAGTACTAAGTCTAAGAAAGTCCATCTTACTCCTGATTTGGGTTGGCAGAGTACCAGTTCTGGGAAGTGAACCTGGAGCTTTTGCACTAATCTACATCACCAAGCCTTTTATTATTATTATCGCAACAGGATTTGCTAAATTGCCTAGGCTAGGTTTAAACTTGTGATCCTCCTGCCTCAGCCTCTTGGGTAGCTGAAATTATAAGCACGCATCACTGTATCTCATTACTCTTGATTAAACTGCTAAATACTATTCTATTAAAATCTTATTTGTTTTTTGAGTATAACGTATTTATCTACTTTAATGCATCCTTAATATTTGGCCCACTAGAAGTACCTAATTAATATTTACTGTTGAATTTATCTGATATCACCAATAAGTGTTTTTCTCTTCAGCATCTGACAGTGTGAACTCTTACCGATTATCCCTCAGTCTATATACCACTACACACGCCTGGTTCGTAAATGTCTTATTCAGCCATCACAGGAACAAACTTGAGAATAGCTACCTAAAGGAGTACTGATGTATATTCTGGCTCATAGTTCAGACTGTAGTCAACTGGTTCCACTGCTGAGGGCCTCAAATCTTAGCTGCTAAACATAGGGCAGCCAGGAAGCAAAGAGAACAAGAGTCATAGAAGGGGCCTGACATGGCTCCCAACCTCATGCCCCTGTGATCCCTTCACTTCTAGGGTCTACCTTATTTCTATCCCTTCCTAGTATCATCAAATTAAAACTTCATCAGTAAAGTTAAGAGTCATTATGATAAAACTATTTCCCAAAGCCCCTCAGCAGCTGGCTGGGTGTTACATGCCTGTAACCCTAGCTCTTAGGCGATTGAGGCAGGAAAACTCATGAGTTAGGTTAGCCTGGGATACATAGTAAATTCAAGCCTAGTCTCAACTACATAGTGAGATCCGGTCTCAAAAACAAGACAAACCCAAAAGCCCCTCTTCAACACAATGAGCCTTTTGGGTGGGGGGACACTGCAGATACCAGCCATAACACTATCATACTTTAGGCACTGCCTCACTTTGATTTCTCATTCCTTTATATTCTCTCTTTTTCACCAGTGTGTTCCATCCAGATCAGCCTTTAATCCTGCATTTAATCAAATTACTTTTCAGCTTCCATATTATTTCATATCAATGGTTCTTACACCAAAAACTTAATTTTTGTTGCTTTGTAACTAAATGCATTAATCCTGTAACATCTGTATTAGAAATATATTCCAAATCTTTTTAATAATGCATGTGAGGAAAAAAATCCTCATTTTTACAGATTAAAGTAACTTAGAGAAATTAATCTGCCACAGATGGCATGATTTAAAGCCACACAGACTATATTATACTCATACTATGTGATTCTGCCTCTCATATATAAATAATCAATTCCAAATCATGGTGTACTACTGTCTAGTTCAGGACTGGGTTCATTGGTTTAGACCATGGATTGGCAAACTATGCCCCATGGACCGAATCAGATAGGAACTTGTCTTAGTATTTACTATATACTCATCCAATTATTAATTGTCAGTGTCTGCTTTCCTGTTAAAAGTATGGCCCCAGTGCCTGCCTGGCAAGCGCAAGGTACTGAGTTCAACTCCAGGTACAATATATATATATATATATATATATATATATATGGCCCAGAAAGTCCAAAATATTTGTGGTCTGACCCTTTATACCTTGCCAGAGTCTTAAACCACTGCACAATTGCTATCTGTACAGTGCTGATGAACCTTCCCAATGTTAAAAATCTTTCATGGCCCTCTTGACATATAAAGGGGCAGGATAACTTGGTCCATCATATTACTGGTACTCTGAATAATAAATAGCCTCTGTCGAATGTCATCTCCTACCTCTCTACTATGTGTACATAGTACTAGCCCGCCTGATTGTTCTCGAAGGCATCTTGGGTATCATTTTTTTTTACATTGTAGCATCACTGAAATTTTTATCCTCCATTTGACTTCAGAAAACTAAGACAGCAACTACTTTACCAACAGTACTAATTTTTAAAAAATCGACGAAGTAGAAAATACACAATTACAGAAGCAAAAACATTAAATCCATTCAAATTAAGTAATATAAAGTCTCTCCAGTAGTAACTAAAATTCAGTCTTCTAGCACTCATTAGCTAATGGTATAGAACTGCTATACAGTAACGGAAACACAGGTTCAGACAGTACTACATAAACATGAAACGTAGTTAATAGATGTTGCAGGCAGCACATCAGTGAGACACAGTAAGAATTGGGAACAGGAGAAAGGACTATGAGGAAGGAACACGCTAAGTGGGGAGAGGTAGGAAAATTCTCACAACCACGCGGCAACCGTGATCATAATCGACGCGGCCCTACACAGGTAACGTGCCAAGGGGGGTGGCATCGGCTTTTGGGTCTGGCCAGGAGGCCGGCTTCCTCCCCTCCCCCCCATCCCGGCAGGGCTGCGTGAAGCCCAGCACAGCGGAACCGAACCCTCCGGACCACAGCACCACGCGGCAGGCCCAATTATGCCTCAGTCCCCCGAACCTCACGCCAGACCACAGAAAAGGTTCATAGCTTTCACCAGACCTTGGGTATCCGTGTGGCGCCACTCAAGCTCCTGGTGCCGCCACCTACACGAACACCGTTGGAGAAGTTCCGGGAAGAAGATAGTCAGGTCTGCTCCCAAGAAATAACCCCGCCTATCGACCTAGCCCCGCCCACGGGGAGGAGGCCACCCACTCCCGCACCGCCCACACTCGGCGAGAGGCCTCACACCGACCGGAGTTACGCCTGCGGAACGGACTCCTACCCGCCTGGTCTGGCACATACACAGAATTCCTCCTTAGCGAACCCGGATCCACACACCTGGAGGAGTCCCAACCTCCTCCTGCTAGGGGCAACGCAGTGGAGGGCCCCGCCCACAAAGCGGAGTCTCACCTTGTGTGGGCCTTGAGTAGCTTGAAGTCCCGCCTACTGAACGATGTCCTGCCCACTACACAGGGTCCCACTCTGCTTCAGGCGTGCACCACGCCCCGCCTACCAGACGTACTTCCGTTCCTAGCAGCAGGACTCCGCCCACTTGGTGTAATCCCGCCCACGAGGCCAACCGTTTTCCACACGGAGCCCCGCCCTTAGTGCGAGGTTCTACTCACCGTGGGGATCCCTTAGCATCTGTCTTTAGGCGGAATTGCCGACGTCCTCGGTCTCCAGCGAGCAGAAAGCCATGCAACGCGTTCCTGAGTCTCCCGGGTAGTGAAGACGTTACGGGAGTCCTCACCTCTTCGTTGCTGGGCCCGGCTGGGCCGGCTGCTCCCAGGAGGTGGCGCTGCGCACCTCGGCCAGCCGCGTCTGGGTCGCGGGAGGCGCAGGCGACACCTACTAATTACCGTCTCCTGAAGCCGCCTTTGTGATGAGCAAGAAATTCAGATGCTGTTTCATTATAACTTTTACTTCAAAAAGCAAGTTTCTGACAGCATGGCAGAGGTACAAGACGCCACGCGCAATAATAGGATATAAAATTAGAACAAATGCCAAGGAACTTGTTAGAAGGAATATTTTTTTCTGGCGTGTTTATCTGTGTTTTTCCCAGTTAAGACGTTCTGAGTTGATGTATTTTAGAAAATTGAAATCTTTCATTAAGATATCGCCATTAAAGCTTCCACATGAGTGAGGTGGGTTCGTGAACAACAATGTAGGAATCCAACCAGCCAAATTGGTAAATTTGAAATTAACTGAGCTCAGGACCACTCTTATGCAGACACCCCCCACGCCCAGTTTCAGGGTCCAAACAAGTGGCCCCAAACTGGAAAGATACAGAGTTTTTAAAAGAATCACAAAAGGCATCCTGTTGGAAACAATTTAGCTAGAATCTTACATTAATTTTTGATTGACACCTGTGCCCTGCTTCTTTTGTTGAGTAGGTTAATTTTTCTCCTATATATACAGCTCATTCTGCTTTTCATGGGATTTATACCCTGAGTAATTTTCCATTTTCCTGGGTCAAATACGGGGCACTAGTGAAATACAGGGCTCAAGATGGTGTAAGTTATGCCAAGCTACAACATTCCCCACTGGTTTTAGTGTATGAATCAAATCCTTGATTCCTGGTCATCCTTTTAAAAGTCATCTTTCTTATCTACATTTTGCAGATTCTCGTACTGGTAGTGTATAATTCAATAGATTGGACTCGGCTTTGGATATAACATTAAACATTTTTTTATGCAGAGGCCAATAGTAATGGACAGTAAAAAGGAAAATCAGGGGTCCTGCTAGAGCTGTGAGTAGGGTGGTCAGCCATGGGATGGTGGGGAACAAATTTTATATGAACTCTGTTGATGATGTCTATCATTTTTTGTTATCAGCTAGGCACCTTTTGAGATAAGACTGTCTCTAATAACTCCTGAGTGGTTGGTGTAAAAGCAACATGATTTACCAAGGGCTAGGCATAGACTGCCCTGTTTTAAGAATAGAAGGTCTAGATCTCCCAGGTTCTGAAGAACCATCTCAGCCAGGGAGTTTAGGGACTTCTCCAAGAGATGAACATTATGTTCAAGTGTGCCCAGAACACAGTCTGTTTCTTTGCTTAGTATCTGGTAAGTCTGGTCTCCTGTTATGAGGGCTATGGTTCCTACTGCTGTGGAACTGGCTACTGCTAATCCCAAAAGGGCAGGAATTAGGACTCTTTTTTCTTGTGAGGTTGGGTAACCCCATATGTGCCTTCCTTCTCCAGAATACCAGTACACTTGGGGAAGAACATGAGTTAAGACACAGAATTCAGGGTTAGGTCCAGTGAAGACAGCCAGAAGAGCACAAGGGGTGAGGCTCTTTGTACAGACAAACCAAGTTGCAGGCAGCAAGACTAAATGTGGATTAAGAGGGTAAGAGACATTTTGTACATACACAGTTGAATTACAATTAATTCAAAATGGAGAGGGCTTCAAAAGGAAACTTACAGACTAAATACAAAGTCCAGAACCCTGAATGTTTCCCAAAGTGAGGGACTTAGGTCCCTGCTCCCACCAGCATGAACTAGAATCAAGGTTTGAGGTGTTTACAATTTGGTATTGATTGCAACAGTTGCATTCGCAGCAAGTCTCACATAATGGGAGGGGGGGTGTCAGAATTTAAGCATAACCAACAGTCTGGAGTAATGTTGGGGGATGAACTAGTAAGTAATTTAAATATCAGTTCCAGAGATTGGAAGACAAGGCTCTCAGGTTGTAACTGTGTTGGGGTGTAAAGAGGTTGTCTGGGGACAGATGGGGAGGGAGGGGAACTCATGGTGGAGGTAACCACTGGAGTGGGAAACTCGTTTGGTGACAGGGTAAGCTCACCAATGGGGCCTAGGGGTTTTGAATGGATTGGATTACTTCCCTGTTTTCTCTGGATGGTAAAGAGCGAACCAAGATCCCATCCAGTTACATAGAGGCAAATGCCCCAAGTTTTTCCTCCATTCTAGGAAGAATCTTCCAGTTGCTTAGGCAAAAATAAAATGTAGCCCTTATGGGAATCATACCTAGCAGACACATAAGGGTCATTATCTGACCAGGGGACTACAGTTTTACAACCCCAAGCAGTTTGTTGGCAATGGTAATAATGGTGCAGGTTTGACCCAGAACTAGTAGAACATCTGTCCACTTTAGAGATTGCCTGACATAAATAAAAGGGAATATTTGGGTCTGATGAGAAAAACCCAGCTGGAATCCAGGCAGCTGAGGTAAGGCCAGTGCATTTCAGTTTTTTTGTGTCAGCCCTCCCCATGATCAAACAGAGGGTGATGTTAAGGAGGGGATTTCCAAGGCTTCTGGTAAAGGCTAAGATTACTCCATCTGAAGTTCTAGTCATAACCCACATATAAGCTACAGGGTGATGGTTTTTTGTGGGAATGGCTGGAATAAGGAAGATTATACTCATAAACTTAGGGTCTATATCTTTGGAGCTTAACCTTTAAAGGGTCAGAAGACTTTTTGATAGTCCATTTAGCTGGAGTCTCTGGTCCTACAGGCTTGAAGTGGGAGTGATAAATCCAGTGGCTCTTTCCAGCAACCTTAACAGTTAGGGGACTACTCGAGGTGACTGTATAGGGTCCTGCCCAGTCGGTGTCTAGGGACATGGGCTGTCTCCTTTTGATGTAGATTTAATCACCAGGTTGAGCTGCCAGGGTGTCACCATGTCTTTCAGGAACGGTCTGGTAGCACCGGAACAAGCGGTGGGTCAAGTGCAGGAAGGGCTGGAGAGCCTGTAAGAACTTAACAAGTTCCCCATTAGTGACAGTAGCCAATTTATCATCTTGGACATGGGAAATCAAAGGAGGTGTTCAGCCGTACATGGCCTCAAAAGGAGTCATGTCTTGGAGGTAGGGAGTACATTGCTCATGCTTCTTAGAAGGGCAAAAGGAAGGAGGCTTACCTAGTTTTTGCCAATCTCAAAAACCAGTTTTGAAATATTTTCCTTTATGGTTTTGTTCATTTTCTCTACTTGGCCTGAACTCTGAGACCAGTAAGCACAGTGTAATTTCCAATTTATTTCTAAAGCTGTAGCTAAATTTTGGGTGATCTGAAGCTATGAAAGCTGGACCATTGTCTGGACCCCAGAGAGGTGGGCAAACCAAATGGAGGCACTATCTCCTAGAGGAGTTTCTTAGTTACTATTGAGAGCTGATTTAGTCCAACTGGCAAATCCTTCAGTCCATCTGGTAAATGTGTCTATGAGAACTAAGAGATATTTATGTCCTTTTCTTTTTTTTTTTTCTTTTTCATTTTTATCGGTACCAGGGATCGAACTCACGACTGCCTGCTTACAAGGCAGGTACTTATGCCGCTGAGCTAAATCCCCAGCCCCTGTCCTTTTCTTCTTCAGCTCATTTCAGTAAAGTCTGTCTCCCACTGGTCTCCAGGGGTAAGTCCTTGTCTCTTTTGAACATCAGTGGGAACCAGCTTAGGGTTCACCTGAAGACATCATGGACATTTTTGGCTGACCTCTTTAGTCAGCTGAGATAATTTGGGGATAAAATAATGTCCTCATCATTTAGTTCCTCCTAATTTAGTTCCTAAGTGGGTGGCCTGGTGGGTCTCCTAGATGAACTGGGGGCCTAACAATTCTGAGATGAGAATTTGCCCATCCAGTAAGGTTTACCAGCCTTCCAGAGAGAGTTGGGCCTCTAAGCTCTTGGCTAAACTCAAGTCTGAACTAAGTAAAATGACTTAGGAGTACGGGTAGCGGGAGAGCTGGGAGGTACATTGTAGCCCCCACTGGTTTTAGTGCCTCCTTTCTGGCTGTCTTATCAGTGAGGGCAATTCCACAAGCTATTGGGATGTCTTTTCGTTGGTGCCCCAAACAATGTAAAATGACAGCCTTTTGGGGCAACCAGATGGCAGCCAGGAGGTCTAAGGTCTCAAGAGCATTTCTGATCTTTGTTCTTGCGAGGTTATAAGTCCTCTTTTCTGATAATTGGCCCTATCCACATGGATGGTAGCAAAAGTGTACTGACTATCTGTATATTTACATATATATATATATATATATATATATATATATATATATATATTTTGTCCCCATCTTAGGACTTGAGTCAGGGTATCAGTTTTGCCTGCTGAGCTGAAATTCCAGACCCTAAAGCTTGGCTCATATTACTTCAGTTTTGGTGGTCACTGTAGCTCCTGCCACTCGAGTACCTTGGTGGAGATAACTGCTGCCATCTGTGAAAAGGATGGCTTCAGGCTAGGCAAGTGGGACATTAG